AACTCGTGTTTATCCTTGGTCACCTGTGGTCATTTGGTAATATAATAAAAGAAGACCAAGGATAAACACGAGTTATTGCTTCAGTGTTCTTCCTGTCAAGCCTTTTCGGAGGGCTGAATTTTTTAAAATCCGAACAGAGGTCCCGCCCTTCGTGTTAGCGGATGGGAAATCACACACTGACAAACCAGGATGGGACCCAAATGCAGTACAAAAGAGTTCTTTAATTATTCCAACGACTAAGGGCCACCCGTGGCGGCTGGCGGAAACACAGTCTATTTAATCAGCAGGTTAAGCAGGTAAACAGCAGACCAGAGGATGTGAGCTGGAGAGGTGAAGCTGATCAGGTGGGTCTTTTGGTTGAGCAGGAACAGGCCAAGTGCCAATCAGCCACAGGCAGACGAGGAACAGAAAACCGGCAGGCAAACTCGTGGTCGGGGACAGAGGGCTGGTGGATTTACCGGGGCGGAGACGAGAGGCGATGTCGGAGGCAAGTCGGGTTGATACCAGGTAAGCAATCCGGGAACAAGTGCTGGAGAGTCAGGCATGGGAACGAAGACAATCTGGCAAAGAGTGAGTGGAGTGAGGCTGCATAAATACTGGTTTGATTGGAGATGGTGAGCAGGTGAGATCAGCAGGTGAAAGCTGTTAGACTGATGAGGGGTGTGGCTGAGCAGCAGAGCAGGGGAAGGGCAGAGCAGATTGTGACACACTGCCATTGAAATGGTGAAGATGACCTATGTTTAGCAGGGGTCAGTCTGGACAGCCAATACTTATATCATGGATGACAGACACCTGGCTTTCCCACTGATCCTTGGGTTGAACTTCATGGTGAAGACCAGAGTCCAGATTAATGTGGCTGAGCGCAGATATGGGCTTAAGGAAGACGGACATACTTCACTTTTCCGAACCAGGGCCCCGGCCAGTTGACTTGGACCACCTGTGGGCCTAGTCTGCCTGCTTATGTCAACCTTTATGTTGCTATGCCTCCCATAGCTGAGTTTTCCAAGGTACAATCTGATACGCACCAGGACTTGATCAAGACACTGCCTGAGGAGGTGCAACCACTAATCCAGAAATGGCCCTCAGTCAGTTCAGAGAAGATTGGAAGGACCACTGTCATGAAACACTCCATTCCTCCAATGGATAACATTCCTGTGCACTCCAGATCTTATAGGGTCTCACCAAAGAAAAGGGAAATAATTAAAGAATATTTGGAGAAGATGTTGAAGGAAGGCATCATTGAGCCTTTCCAGTCTTCTTGGGGGGCCACAGTGGTCTTGGCAGATAAAGCTGATGGGACCCCAAGATTTTGTGTTGATTCAGAGGACTCAATGTCAAAATGCCCCAGGATGCATACCCATTGCCATTAATCCATGATATCCTGGAGTCTCTACATGAAGCATGACTTATTTCAGCACAGTGGACCTTTATTCAGGCTACTAGTATGTGGATTGGAAGAGGAAAGCATGGACAAAACAACTCTAGTGATTCCCTTTGGCCTTTTTCCTTTCAAAGTCAGGCCATTAGGACTTACAAGTACTGGAGCCCCATTACAAACGTTGATGGCGAGGGTTCATGAGGATCTAAGGGGCTTCCTCTGCTTTGTTTATATTGATGATATCATTGTATATTCCCCCAATCACCAGCAGCACCTTAAAGATCTAGGTGCCGTTTTCAGCAAACTACATCGTGCCAACTTGACCCTGAACCTAAAGAAATTTAACTTTTTCAAGACTCAGCTGAGATTCCTGGACCATGTGGTGTCAGGTAAAGGAGTTGAGATTGTTCTTGATAAGACAGCAGTGGTGACACACTATCCCACTCCCACAGACATTCCAACACTATCGAGACTTCTGTGGTTGGTGGGCTGGTATCACAAAGTTATACCACACTATGCTGACTTGGCAGCTCCACTTTACCAACTGCAGCGTTAAAGGTTCAGTATGTAGAATTTAGAGATATCTTGATGTGAAGTTGCATGTTGCAGCTGAAGACTCCTCATTTCACCCTCCCCTTCTAAACATGAAAGAGAACCTGCGGTGAACTTGTCATAAAAACTGAAAAGGTTTTAGTTTGTTTAGTTTGGACGACAGTAAAAAACATGGCGGTCCCCTGCAGACAGGACCCCCTCCATGTAAATATAAAGTTTTTAGATATAAAGAGCCCTTTCTATGGTAAAGAAAACAGCAAATTCGTACAATTTAGATAATTGCACACCAGTGAAAACATCACTAGGATTACTTCATATTCAATTTCTACCAAAAATTCCTTTCACCTTAATCTTACACACTGCAAGGAGAAAAATGGGTGTGGTCCGCAACATATCAGCAGATGGAGGAGAAGCCCCAATCACTGTCAAACTTTATTTTTGTGATCAGGAATCCGCCCTGAAAAGTTCAATATGCCAATATACTACCCCCTAGCTGTGACAGGAAGGGCCATGTTTTATACTTTGTCATGTTCCGCCTACATTTTTCATTTGATCTACCTCAAAATTGGTCAGAGAAACCTTGAGACGATGGTGATGCCATATTGTGACACTTAAACCTTTACATTGAACAATGGCATGCATTTTGATGGAACGCCAGCAAACAGGAAGTGGCTGTAACGTCACTGCACATGCTCCAATCTGCCTCAAAATGAACATGTACAATGAGAGTCACTATGTGAACACAAGGACAATATTTGACAGCTGAGGCAGAATGGCACACGGTTTTTCCCTTGAGTCCCAAACGAATGCCTCTTCGTGGGGGGGTGGGGCGATGCGATTGCATCCGAGTGGTTGCATCGCTTCCTTGTGGTGGCAAGGCTTGGGACAGCATTGTACTTGCTTGCAAGTTTAGTTGTGTCTTAAGTTTCACCTACCAACAGTGAAAAGACCTCACTTTCCTTGACCTCATTTATGATGCTAATGTATCGGAAATTGTATTTTGAATTTGTTGGCTAGTGTTTTTTGCATTGTGAGGCCTGTCAGTTTCTTTTTAAAAACTGGGTCAAGTTTACCAATAACATTCAATATAGCCAAGGCGTTGTCTCCCTATAACTCCTTTGTGATATAATTTGTATTGCAGTTAACAGCAAGACTTCAGTTACACTTTTTATACAAGTATGATTTTCCTGTATCTGCTTTCAGTTTTCTTTAGTGAGGGCACTTATTAAAGATGCATTAGCTTTTTCTCCTCTATCAAATTATTTCCAAGCCATCATTGCATTTGTGTGAGCCTCTCCCTTTGCATGTACAGAGAATCCTCCATCTCTGAATGTTGCTGAAGTAAACAGTGACTCTGTGTTTGCGAGGCCAAAATGTCTGCATCCATAGCAATATGCAGAGTCGTGGCTCTGTGAGTATTTTAGCCATGGGTGTATATTGTACAACAAGGCTTGCAAGTTTCTTCACCTGTTTCCCTGGAGAGTCTTGGGAAAGAGTTTCAGGTGTGGCTGGACGGGACCATCAGCTCTTGATTTGGACATGTCTGTTTAAATTAATCATTTTAAATGAATTTAAATTAAATGATCCAGGCCCTTCAGTCTTCATCAGTAATAGATGTGTGCCCATTCTTCTAACTCTACGCCAACTGAGTTGTTTATATGACTTGTGTGAATCTGACCTATTCATAATGATCAGGTTGCATTTTTGCCACTGTATCATATTGGGCAATTCAAGTGTCCAATATATGAGAGTTAGTATACCTGGAGGTCCAGTTGGGCCACTGCTCTCTGAGTTTGTCTTCGTTGCTTGTTGGGGTCTTTGGGAAACGCCTTAAAATATAAAAGCTTCAGATTAGAAGGTGTTCTCCAAAAGGATTTAAAATGCATTTTTATACAGTATGATAGATATAATGCATAACATTACATTACATTTCAACGCTTTATCCAAAGTTATCCTAATAGATCGAGAGAATACACTAGTGGACAACATCAGTGAAGCAACACAAGTGTAGCCAAGTGTATGAATGAAAGATTTAACCAGGTCCTCTTCAGGGCCACTGGTTAGTGGGGGCTCCCCTCTTTCACTTTCTGAGCCTGTCTGCTGTGCTTTTTGGGGTCTTTGTGATACAACAAAAATGTATCTGTGTCAGACTTTAAGGTGCTGAAAATATATACTAAAAGTTTTTAAAATGAGTTTGTAGCATTATCTGTATATAAATGATCAAAGAAAGTAACACTATAGCCAAGTGTATGCGTGAGAGGGTCTGTATACCTGGAGGTCCACTTGGTTCAGTGCTCACTGGGGACTCCTCTCTCTTGTTCTCCGTACCTGTCTGTTCTGTCTCCTCATCCTGTCATTCTCCTGTGCTTCAGCTGGCTTTTTCTTGCTACTACTGTCTTTCTCTTCATCTGTACTGCTTATCTTATTCTTAAGAATATTCAGTCTGACATTTCAATTAGAATAAAAAAATATTATAATACCCTAAATACATAAAACATGAGTAAAATAAACCACACACAACCTAAACAAATATAGTGGACTCTCTTGCTCTGTGAATAAAGATAGCTCTTGAATAAACATTAAACATTTGGCACAGGATATATGTTACCACCTCAGTAAATAGGATGGGATGGTTATAAGGTACATGAGCTTTTAGATTTGTATTGCATTCGATTAGTATTCCAGCGTTTCACCTCGGATTGTGTGGGTGTGTGTGTGTTTGTTTGTTTGCTGCATGCCTATGTGATGTAGTCCCTTCTGTTACTTTAGCCCTAAGAGCAACACCCATCCTGGCCAATGGTATTTTGATGCCTGCCTACTGATAATGCACTGATGTGTGGAGCACATTCTCTTTTTGAAAAGATCACTGGCAGGAGGCATGCACAAATAAACTTTTTTTCATTGGTGAAAAGGCTCGGTTATTAAAATAAACTGCAGTGTTAGGGATCAGTGAAGGAGCAAAGTGGCTCAAAGTTGTGTTTTAATATATTGTTTACATAAATTCAGCCATATCAGTCATTGGATACTCAGACTAAATTAAATTTGTGTTATCTATGTTGATTTTTGTCAGGCCGTCACTGTGATGTTCATCAAATGACTGGAAACTACATGTGGGATGCAGCCTCAAAGAAGGAGTTTCTGATTGGGACCAATTCCGACAGCCGGCTGCCACTTTGGTGGGATGGATCAGAGCCATTATGGGTCACCCTGCAGAAGCTTGGAAAGAATGTTTTCATGTACTACTGGCCTGGTGAGCATATGCATAGTCAATCTGCACATTCAAATCTGTCTGCCTAGCTATCTATCTGTACACCAAGGCAAGATGACTCACTATCAGAGAGATATACTTAACACCTTTCGTCAAAAAGTGACAGTTTTACGACTTTGAACTTTTACCTAGTGAGGTCACGAGAAGGGGGGGGG